CCCCCCCCCCCCCCCCCCCCCCGCCCTGGAACACACGGCAAGGGTGCCTCGGAAACGCATCATATGCCTTGTTTGGCTCCTCGTGGGCCTGTCGCATGCTGCCTACACCACCTCGAACTCGCCATGACCTCTCTCTGCATAGGGGCGGGCCTCGAACCTGTATCCGACCTTTCGCCGACCTTTAGAGACATAAACGCACCCTCGACAATCACCACACGATGGAGAAATGGAACCGGTGCGGTTGACCATGGTGCCTCCGACAAGGGGCGGTTGGTTGCGGCTTTACGTCAATCTTGAAATGGTAGGCAAGGGTTTGAGCCCCATTCCTCTGGGCTTCCGTTCTGTACATGACGTTCATAAGGTACACGAGGTCTCCCGTACGCTCTGTTCCACGACTCGCTTCCGCTACGCTCCCCGACGTTCCTTTGCCTCATGTGTCGAGGTTCGGGAGAGGAAACATTGAACATACGGCATCATGTCTCGCGCGTGCGAAACAACATGCCTGGCTAGCCCCAACGTGTTGCGTGCTGGAAACGTGTGTCGTGCTTGCGCGCCGTTCACTCTCTCTTGTTACTGGTGTCCCTGATTTCCCTTGGCGCCATCCATTGTTCGTGTGTTTCTGATGCCCGTGATGCACCACCGAGTAGCTTGGCTTGACGTCGACGAGTTCGGTACAGACGCCGCTCGGCTTGGCGCGTGCGGCTCCTCGTTCCCCCCCTTACGAACACCTTTGAGTTTGTCGAGGCGAACGATTCCTACGCAGCGGCCGTCCAAGGTCCTTCGTCCTCATGGTAGGTTGTTGAGCGCCTGACACGTTCTTGGGACCATGCCGGTCCAAAGGACCACCCTTTCGAATATCCCACCAAATTGAACCAGGGGCACTGTTTTGTGTGGTATGTCGTAAACACCTGCATACTGAAACCCCGGTGGTCTTGGCGGGTTGCTGGTCTAGTGTTTTGAAGGTGATGGTCGTTCCAGCGAAACTGTTGTTTTCACTCTCACAGCAGTTCCCTTTGCATGCAGAGGCAGCAAAGAATGAACATCCGGCCAAACAACAACGAGGACAATCCTGCACGAGCGCGATTGTTCGGTGCGGGAATGACAGACCAACGCGCCTCGGGAATTCTCTAAACCAGTCCGGAATTTTGTTATTGGAATGTACGAAGTTCGTTGAAAGCATGCAAAACGTTGGACCACCAGGCGTCAGCTATTGTCTTCAAGCTTTCAGACGCCAGTACAACTGTTGAGGTGGAGGTTTGGTGGAGCATTTTGCGATAGTTCGATGAAGGTTCACCTGAATGGCCGCCATTTTCGATGGTCAAATGCTAGGGTTGGGGACTGGACCAGCAGGTACTGACAGTATTCCGTACTAGACAGTTTCCTTGGACTGGCTCAGAGGGGTGCCAGTACAGCCAGTACTTCAACATGTTACGTACGTCCCACATTATGCCTACTAATCCACATGGAAACCCACCGGATTGCGCAGCATGAAAGGGTGAGAGAGGAGCGCAAGCACGAAGCACACACGCCCGCACTCGAGGGAAGGTGCAAACGTACGATCGATGGACGAATTTGTCACTAGCAGCGATGTGCCTGCTCTTTGTGTTACCAACAGCACAAGCGGAAGTTGAGAAGTTGCTGTGTATTCATTGGCGCGGGGGGGCGGTCAAGTAGTGAGTATGATAGAGCTACGGCAGGGTAGTACGCACCTTTACGGGTGGATTGCAAAATGATGTGACTTTCTTTCGTGGCTTTCAGCCAGCATGTGTTGTTGAAGGAGAATGAGCACCATCTTGATGAAAAATGAGAACCGTCTTGTGAAGGTTTTCAAGTTGCAGATGGTTTGGAAGCAGCTTAATGGTGAACATGTTGAGTTGGATGCGTGTGTGACACCCAACCAAAGCTACATGCTACATCCGATGCGTGTTGTCACACTCAACCAAAGCTTGAAGGAAAATTGCCAACATATTGATCATTTTTCGAGAATTTCAAGGATCTAATCCTTGACTCTGGAATGGTCAGAGTGACCCAAAATCACCCAAAAAATATGCAAAAGTGAAGCCAAATCCCGTAAAAACGCGCCTCCGGCGGGGCCCCCTCGCCAACCGAGGGGGAGCGGTGGTCGCGGCGCAGCCGCGACCACGCGGCTTCGCCGCGCAGCCAGTTTATGCAAGCCGAGAACGTGGTCAAGGTGCTTTCATGTGTTGGCGAGGTTGTTTTGAGTACCGCCGGAACGCGTATACCCCCCAGCACTTGGACCCGTCAACTGTTTGGGCAATACTTTCTCGAAAACGGTGACCGCTAAAAATACCTTATCATTGGCCTGCCACCCTACATGATGAGGCCAACAAATGCAACTGACCCCCCCCGGTCGGATCAAAGCGCTGACGGCCATGGAAATGCCATCAGCTGTTTCCCTCCTCATGCTTTCCTTTGTCCTGTCAACTAGAGCTGAATTTTGTTGTGCGAACACGATGCCTAGCAAAAGGACCGCCAATATTTTGGAGGTTGCAGGAGGGGGGCAACCAAAAGGAATCAGAGATGCCTACAAAACTCGCTTGGGAGTTGGGTTAATCTCAATGACTGGAAATTTTCTCCATGAATGGTAAGGTCGAGAACAACGTTTTCTTTGGCGCAGCGCCTGCGTCGCCACCGAGCGCGCTGTGCGGAATCTCCATGAGCCAAACACGCCGACATGTTCCTGAATGAGTTCCCGCAGGAACAGCCGACTGAGAACTTGATCACAATATGAAAATAGTATAGAAACACGTTCTCCGGTGATTGCCCCGGACCCTTTTATTCGACCGGTTCATGGCGCCATTGAGGGGAACACAACAACGAATATGGAAAATATGATTTCATTATGCTCCGTCTACACTAAACAAGCTCCTTACTCGTCCGTTGATGCTGCAAGGGCCTTCGATCGTCCAGAACATTGTTAGGGCACACATTGGACAATCAATGTGTACCAGTCGGCTTACCCAGCTACTTCGGTGCAGTTGTCGTATCACGAATGTCCAACGAATGGGAGATCGACCTTCAGAACACACCTTGCATTGAACGTGGTCACGAAAATAGGGGGAAAGGAGGGAGGTGTGATACACTGCATATGAACACGAGAAGCGGCGGTGGTACATTTGGGGTACGGCGGTGAGTGAACGAAAGGTATCGCTCCTTGTACTTGACGGTAACTATTCGCGCTTTTGCGAGGATCTCTTGCGGTCTCGCATTTGTTCACGATCGCCTTGTCGGCTTCTCTGACGATGGCATTGGTAAAAAAATGGAACACTTGGAGGCCCTGTGGACCTCGTCGCTGGTGTATTGGAGGCGGTACAGCTCCGAGCTTGGCACGTTTGGGTTGCCGACAGGTGCATGTCTCTCGTTGTTGCCGATCAATTGGCCGTCCAGTTCGACAGTCTAAATCATAAGCTACACAGCAGCGTACGTGACTTACCCCACAGACCGCAACACAAGTATCGTAACATGCTGGTTTTTGTATGCCTTGCCTCGCCGTGCCCCCGGCACACAGAAACTACGTCAGAAGCTCACTCCGCTTACGACGGCACCCTTGTACTTTTTTGGTACGCGTACTGTGCTGCTGCTGCTGTGTGCTCCCTGTTTGGTGCGCCGTTTTCTCGGTGCGTGATTCTTCTCTGTTGCACGTCGTGCATCAAGAAGTAACAAATAGCAGTCATCATGTACCAAAACAATCACCAGGATGCTAAAATTCAGTACATTGCGTGCCATCGCGTGACATCGTAGCGCTTCCACATGTATGTCTGATGCGTTGCACATTGCGGCTGTACTTGGTGAAAACAATGGTGGAGGAAATACTGAAAAGAGCTCAAACTAGTTGGTGTTGTTCTCCCATGTTAACGTCCTGTATCCCCCCCCCCTTCCGTAAAAAAGCAACCCCAACCCCCCCGCGCGCGCCTCCTAAGAGACGATACATGAGCTTCTGACGGGGTGCTGAGAATATTCTTGTGACTGCTGTTCGATGTGGTTGGAGCGCATGGAGCTCAGGGCCGCGGCGAGGAATCAAGGAAAGGGGGGTGGGAATTGTTGCAAGGCGATGGACACAGTGGACACCCGTTCCCGTGGAAATGTCCGCGGACGTCCACGGATTCTTCGGCACAAGTCCGCGGACATGTCCACAGACATGGACGACATCCGTGCACGTTGACGAACGTCCATGGACGACCGTGGACGTGTCCTTTGAGGTCCATGGACGTGTCCACGGACGTGTCCATCGAATGGGCAAAATTTTATATCACCTCCGGGTCTTGACACAAATCCTTCTCCCTCGGCTTGCTCCCCGGCCGAGGTCGAAATCGACCTAGTGAGTCAGTCCCTCGCGGGCGAACCAGGCCACAACAGATAGTAGGAGGGTGGTGTCCCAAGGTGCAACTCACCGCCGCGCTGGCTCAGCGTGGCGGTGAGGATGCACAGACGACGGTAGTGGCGAGAGGTGTGTATGGACACTGTTCCCTCGGCAGTAATGCAAAGCGGCAAACTGCACCTGGCAAGCACCGTCACGGAAAGCGTGGCCCACGAAGCTGGAGGAGTAGAGAGATTCTTTAACACCACGTCAGGAAACATTGCTCACGGGAACAGGGGGACAACCGCGGGCACCGCGGGGAGGGAGTGCTGCACCCCCCTCGTCAAAACACCACAGGCAAGGACCGAGCTCTGCAGAGATGGATTCACACGAGGAAACTCACCGCTCGGAAAATACGGAAGAAAGCACACCCGCAACGCGAGGCGGACCGAGAGAGACACGAGACCGCAGCGGCCGTCAAGGCGGCTGCGAAGAAGAAGGCACGAGAGGGCGACCTATCGTTCGGCACGTTCAACGTACGCACGCTCGCCTACAGCGGTAGGAACCCCATCGGTCACAACGTGATGACGGTCATGCAGATTTGTTCCGCGACCGGCTGTGATGTGATAGGACGTCAGGAGACCCGACGGGAGGGACAAGGTTCAGTTGCACACGACGGGTACGTGATCATCTGGAGTGGTGCTCGTGCTGGTACCAAGTACAAGAGGGGCGTACACGGTGTGGCATAGCGATCAAGGAGGGCGTGTGGGAGAATGTGGGCGAGGAAGGCAGGACGGAGGAGTGCATTAGCCCGAGGCTGATGAAGGTGCGTCTACAAATTGGCCGCACCTGCGGAGTAACTTTCGTGGTGGGGTACGCCCCCACGGAAACTGTCCGCACCACCGCGGGCGGTGATGTTAACGCCAAGGACTCCTTCTGGACTGCTCTCGACGCAGCGATCCGGGAGGTTCACAGCCGTGACCATCGCGTGGTGCTAATGGACGCCAACGCACGCGCTGGTAGGAGGCGAGACGGGTGCTGCGATGCCAAGATTTTGGGCGCGTACGGACGCGACATTATGAGTAAGCAACGGGGAACGACTCCTTGGACTGGCATCAGACAATCAACTCTCCCTGGCCAACACCTACTTCCGGACANGACACCGAAAGGTGGAGTGCAGCACACATTCCAGAGCTTCAACAAGGGGAAGGAGAAGTACCGCCTCGACTTCATCCTCATGCGTCAGACGGACCGGCGTTTCGTGCGTAATGTCTCCGTCAAACATGTCGACTTCAAGGACTCTGACCACAACCTCGTGCTTACGACTGTCCGCCTTCCCCCCCGTGTCGCACGGAACCGATGAGTGCGGGGGAACAGCGGAAGAAGCCGGATCGGTATCGATCTCGAGCGGATAAGGAAGGACAAACACCTACGGGTCGCCTTCCAAGACAGGGCCTCCAGCCGCCCGCCGCCCGCGGCGCTCAGGCGGCCAACGGGAGAGACCGCCGCCGAGCTGACGGCTACGGTGATGTCGGCCGCTGC